CTTATTCTCATCTCGCCCTCTTACCGTAATACAAAAAGTTTAATATTGATATCGCAATGAGCATAAAGTCCTAGTGTCTCAAGTTTTTGCGGAGTACGAGCTCGTGCGTTTTAAAATGCTGTGCAGGAAGAGCTTAATTTGTACCTGACATCCATTTTTGACTAAAGTTTATTGTTTGTGAAAAATAAACATGCCATCCTGGAACAAATTTTCTTGCAAAGAATTTGAAATTGCTACTCTTTTTGGAGTTTTGATTTTGAGAAAACAGCATGAACTGAGTCCGACAACCCAATATCTAGAAACCGAGTAGGGTGCCATTCAGTGCAGCGCTGATGCCCTGATTTATAAGTAGTTTGCTTCAATAATAATTTACTAAGTCTTGCCCGTCGTTGTAGACGATATTGCGATTGAGTCCCGCTTGGAATTGTGCTCGGCCTACGTGCGTTAACGAAACTCGATCTCTCTCGCTTTCTACATATGGAAAAGGTATGCGTCGTGACCATGCAATGCGGCCATCGAAACGAGCCGAGCGTTCGCGGTTTTGGATGTTTACCAGTTCATTAGTTGTTTACCTTTTAAAAACCTTAGATTGTTAAATTTTTTTGCCACCGTTGATACACATGACACAAATCTTCAAATAGTAATTTGCACTCAGGTACGAAGTTAGCAACTTTGCTCTAGACGCTAAACCAGGTTATCATCTACTTTGAGATGAGTTGATGTGGTAAGGTATGATATACAGTAAACTCCCTTAGAGATGCGCAGGCATTGATATAATGGGCGCGGCTGCGCCTTACAACTAGTCACATACAGCACATTCGAATTTGTTGTGTAGGTGCAGCTACTTTACACAAAAATCTAGAATTTCCTGTGCCCTTTTAGGAATTTGTTTAGTACATGAAAATGTGGAGAAAAGGAGCACAATGGGAATAACTAATGAGCTGCTATTCAAATGTAGAGGAAATTGGGGCGAACGCTCGGCGCGGGCCATTGTTGCAGGCTCTTGGCGCGAAGCACAAGCCGTCATGGAAAACCCCATGGAACGAGGATCTTTACCGACACATTCACAGAATGAACTCATTATGGACACAGAATCAGAATATCTTCAGGAGCAGCTAACGCTGTTTCTAACTCACGTAAAAAGTGTCTTCTAGGTCGCGCAGCCGTGATCGTAAGAAGCGTAAGCGCAGTTCTAGTCGCGACAGGAAACGCAGTTCGAGCCGTGAACGTCGTCATCGCCACAGCAGTTCCAAGTCGCGAGATCGTAGACGAAGTCGAAGCAGGGATAGGGATCGTGATCGAAGGAGAAGCAGATCAAGGGATCGCAGACGCTCACGGTTAGTGGTTCAAATCTCTCTTTATTACCAGCCTTAAAGCTTCAAAATTCTGCATTTTTAGATCTCGTTCGCGTGATCGCCGTCGCTCTTCCCGGGACCGTGATCGTCGCCGTCGTTCGCG